GAAACAAAATGACTTGAATAGCTCACAATCYACATGTGGCTCTAGAGCTGCAAAATTTTATCCTCTTAGGGAAATAACTTTTTTTTTAAATTATTTTATTTCCTCACATTTATTAGCATTCCAGTCTGCTGTACACTGCTTGTCGCCTCTGCATTCCTCCCAGTGCAATTTCTGGAACCGGCTTCATTGCTCCCATTTCTGTCCGTGCTTGAAACTAGTTTCAACCAGCCATAGTCAAACCACACCCCATATGACTGCWGACCATGGAATATGCAACTGCATAAAGACCTCTTGCTAAAGAAGCAATTTCTAATATGGTTTCTGGTTGATTGTTTGTCTGAAAAAAATCCCTATCCACAAGAGACATGAAATAGTGCTAAAAGGTGGGCTAGTTCCAGAAAAGTTAGGCGGCGTTTGTGCTGCAGACTTCTGGACAGTGTAGCTCTGTCGACAGATGCTATCCCCAACCCAAGTAGCAATGCAGCAGCTCCTAAAGCATCCTCCTAAGGAGGCAGCACTTTTACCAGTTTCAGAGACTACAGGGAGTGGTTTTAAGACATTAATATATACTAATATGTCTGTATTTTATCCTGTCAGGGCAGTAATTCAACTGAGGTCGAGAGAAGCTCTTTAACTTCCTCAAGGAAGCTAATATCACGTTCAGTTCAGGCTAACAGGGTGCTGGCTCTAGTTTCCCAAAGAATATGGGAAGGCAGGGGGGAAAGAGACTGGGAAAGACAAGCACAATGAGTCAATCTTTGGAACTCAAGCTAAGGGTTTGACTTTACTTAGTTAATTTACAGGCTTATTCTGGAGTTGCAGCCAGTGAGTACTCAGRGTTTCAAACTGGAGCAGTCAAGCTTGACAGCCTGCCATTGCTGGATGTCCCCAAGTCAACTTAACACAAGAGAGAAATTCACTTCCTTACATTCCTTTGCAAATGCTTTGCCTGCCCTTTGCTGAACACACGGGCCTCTACTGCTCAGATATCCTTTTGGACTTCTCCTTTACACTCATGGACATGTATCCAGGCTGAAGGCCTCTTCCTTCTTAGCACTGCTGACAGTCTCTCCGTGTCTGTCATCAAAAGCAAGGCTCATTACAAGTTGTCATGCACCACAGACCTAGAGCTCTCTCCCATTTGTACAAGAGCCCAAACACTGGACAATCCTTCTTTCCAGACAGTTGCACAAAACTGTTTCACACCTTGGTAGTATCTCTCCAAAGGATCTCTCTTTTCTTCTATGCTGCTCTGTACATGAAGTATCTCTTGAGCTGGCCCACTCACCAACCACGGTTGAGCAAATTGTATGTGGAGGCATGAGTGTGTCTCAGGACAGGGAGCATAACTGTCTATCAGCGACAAAAGGTCAGCTATTAAGTGCTGAAAAGCTTGAGTAAGAAATGCATGTTTGGAGAGGAAATGTCAAGAGTCATCCAGCTGATTGGTCAAGAAGCCAGGATTCCAGCTGATTCAGCCAGGAAGCAAACACCAACTCCTATCCTCACAATTTGGGAAATGGCACTACATACCAACTGCTCTGTCAGATAGGGACAGCCACGGTTTCTTTGCAGCTGTGTTGTTAGGAGTCAGCTCTTGCCCTGAGACAGGGCAAAGGGGCAGACATTACCTTGGAAAATGGGTAACTTCATTAATCTGACTCAACTCTAATCCATCAGGAAAAAAAAAAGGAAGCTTTGTGCAGAGTCACTGACTAGATGATTGTAAGTGCAGAAGGAGAGTAAAAGGCAACAGATGCCCCTTCACCTACAGTCAGCATAAGGCAGCAAATTGTAGGGTCTCACGTTGTTGGTCTAAACCTCTTTATGAGATGGCTTTGGCATTGCAGCCTGGTCACTGCATGCTGAAGTCTATCAGCTCTTCTCCTCCTCAGCTCTTCTACCACGCCTGAGGCTTGAGCTACTGTAAGATTTTATTCATGTACCTGTTCAAGCATAGCTTGAGGCTTAAAAGCCTCACTCAAGGCTACAGTTCAGGACAAGCTATGCAAACTGTCATTTTTAAAAGCAAATCTCACAATCCCATTAATGTGATGAGTTTTCTGACAGTTGGAGCCTTTAAATTAAGGCCTGTCTTTCAATAAGATCTGCTCTAGCTCAGCTATGACTCCTGASGTCAGCGTAGCAGTGCCTCAGAGGCATTCCCTGACTTGTGCTGAACGGGTCATATTAAACAGCTGAACATTCCCCTCTGGCTTTTGGGAAAAGGAGGAAGGGGAGAAATACTTATGCAGTAGGTATCTCCTGAAAATCTGTACGGCTCAGGAATAAAGTGATTGCCACTGAGGTATTTTTCTGAAACCAAGAGAACAACTCAAACATTTTAATTTTTAACAGATGCATCCTATTTTTTATTCCAGGAGGTCAATACACAAGGAACACGCTTTTGTTCTTCATGAAAAAAGCTATTTATAAAYACCTTTTATGTCAGAGTTAATAAACATAAAGCTCTATGAAAAATGGACAGTTACCTGTCAAATCACAAGGATTCTGTGCTGCAATTGCAAGGCAATTCTTAAAAAAGGAGAGCAACATCCTCACTGAGACCTCAACAACAGAAGCAAGACCTCCAGAAATCCTGACCAGAACTCCCCAAATCCAAATCTCTTCATCACTAATTACCCTCTATGAACACAAACTTCTCACCATAGGCCGTATTATATGGTAACTGAATCTAGTTCCTTTTTCCTAACTAGCATAGACAAGGAACTTTGGTCTAAAGGATATAGTAGCAATGTATACTTACGGGCCAGGTCAATTTAACAGCAATCAGTTGAACTGAATTGAGCTGCCCTCTCTACTGGGAAGTAGGGACACTGCAAGATGCCAAGCCTACACAAAGGCACACAGGGAGTCCAGTATTTAAGCACTGCATTGAAATTCAACAAGATCTGAAAGAAGCCTAGAGAATCTCAGTATGAGAAGATTCATTTCTTGGAAGCTTAAAGCAATGTGCAAGGTGTGCTGCTGAGGTGGCAGGCAGATGTGAAGCTCCTGCCAAAAAAAAAAAAAAAAAGGTAGGAACAATGTGAGCCTTTAAACTTCCTTGGATGTCTCAGCAGGGAGACGCATCAACTTTCACAACTAACCACCCTGAAGACYCCAAGATAAAGGTGGTATTGCCAGTTCCATCCACCATGGAAAGTCAACAGTGGCTGAGAGCCCCCACTTCTCAATCCAAGGCCCTTGCCAACTCTGTCCCACTGCCTGGCACCTGCCAGCCTCATCCCTTCGCCCATCCTGGTGTATATGGTCCCATGCTCTCCAGGACACATTCTGCAAAGACGTATCCCCACCTTTCCCTTGCAGAACTTCTCAAAACCTTCATCCTACAAGAGAAGGAAGACAGATGCAGGAGATGGCAAACCATCATATCTCAGACAAGTCAGTCCCTACTGTGTTGAAACAGACCAGGAGATGACTCCTGTGTGTAAGCAGCAGAAAGACCAACACAACATGGCCTGTCATGTATAGGTGGCAGCAGTCTTCTAGAAAAATCTARATTGCTTTTTAACACAGCTCTAATACACTGAAACTCATGACAATATCTAAAGTTGTATTGTTTTTGTGCTTCCAAGGTAAGAAAGCAGAAACTGTTCGAAAGACACTGTAGTATTTGGCAGAAAACTGCTTTKCACAACAGAAAATCTTCTGCTCTGAAACAGGATATGATTGTGTTTCACAGAAAGATTCATCCCATCTCACCCTCTGTATGCCCTCTATGACCTCCCTGGATTTTCTTTATCTGAATGGAAAGTTTGGGAATATGGAAACAAGTCAGCTGTTGATCTGCAAGACATCACAGTACYGTATTACGTAGGGCTTGCAGCATTAGGCTGCTCTTCCTTCTGGTAGGGATTCCACTGGGTCTACCCACTAGCAATAGATTAGGCAGTCAGTGCCCAAGGAAGGTCAGGGCTGTGCTCTGTACAATCACTAAAAAAGAAATCTAACCACAGACACATCTGCATGAGCTTTACGTTCAGTGCACAAAGCCCAAGAAGCTAATGCAGTGCCCTGAAGCAGGAGATCAATAACAAGGCATAGAATCATAGAATGCTTAAGGTTGGAAGGGACCTCAGAGGTCATCTAGTCCAACCCCTCTGCCCACGCAGGGTCACCTAGAGCACATGGCACAGGGCTGCATCCAAGCGGGTTTTAAAGATCTCCAAAGCATACAAGCGTGTTGTTGGATTAATGATCTTGTTTACAACTTGATAGAAAATAAATGCAGTAAGTTATAGCACAAGCTGCGCCTAGAGAAGTCTGATCRTTCCAGGACCCACATGCAGAAGTGCTGAAAGTGACAGCCAAATTCCAACCACAGATGTGTGTGCACAAATTATGCCAGAAGGCAGAAAAAAAATAACCAAGAGAAACAGACAGTGCTTGTCTACATAGGAGTAAAAATTAGCTTGTGAGGTCACTTACAGAAGACCATGCTACAGTGAACCCCAGGTACTTGTCAACTTTGGCACTCTGTGGAGCAGTCACCCCACCTAGCCAAAGGGAGCAATGTCAGCCCCACACATGTGGCCTAGAGTCACCGGCCACTTGCCAGCTCACCCTCTGCCATTTCCTCCAGCAGAGTTGGGGGCTTGCAACGTTGAAAGCCCTCCCCAGCCCAAATCCTGTGAAGCTGCTAAATCCATATAGTCATTTCAGGTGAAGGCAGGAGGCTGCATTTTACATTTTCAAAGATTAAGCCAGTACTTGGCCACATGGAACTATGTATGCCATAATGACGCTTTCAGTCAATAACTAACTCAATGAGACTTCATTCTTTCATATCAGCTGACAGCCTGGTCTATAAATACGAAAAATTAAAGGTTCTTCCTTTCCTTCATCCCCCTCCCACCTCTTTCCCTCCCCCCGCCCTTCCCACTGCCCTCCCAGGAAGGCATAAGAATGGAATTTAATCTCTCTCTTACAAATCATTCCCAGGAAATGTGCCTTCCTTCAGTGAGTACAAACCCTACCTTGGTTGAGGTAGGTCAGAGTTTCTTCATGCAGTTTCACAGCAGGTGATGTAGCTGTGCAGAGAACATACTGAAAGGGAGGCAGTTTGGCTTCATTCTCAGGAGATAACTGTGGTTCTTCCTGTTTGAAGATCGGCAGCGCAAGGACATCACTGAAACACAGAATTCAAAACACATTTAATTACAAAAACTTATTGAACTATCTAGTTTCAATCTGGACTAGATTCTCCTGATCTGAGATAATGAAGATGCCCTCTCTCCAGAGAGCCAGTTATTATAGAAAAAAAGAATTTTGACTTTAATGAGGTAAAGCAATTTCTGCATCTGGGATGTCAGCATTGGACACAAAAGAACACCAGCATTAGCAAAAAAGAGCATTGTTGGGAATTAGCATGTTTTAAAAACATTAAAAAACACCTCAACCAAAAATATATTCTCCTTCCTTGTGGAAGCCCACTTCTTCATATGTCCTTGGGTCTTTGGACAAAAACAAATAAACAAAAAAACACAATCTTAATACATCTGATGCTTAAAAGCCATGTTAGCCTTTCTGATGTCTTTAACCCTTCTAGTCATGTGTCCCTTTAAGTAAAGTGTTAGCAGATTTCCAAGCCATTATGCAAAACATAAAAACTGTTCAGATTAMGCAGAGGTTTCTTCTTCTTCATTTCTTCCAGATCCATGAAGACTCTTGACATTCAAGTTACAGAGACTGCAGTTATGCTCCTTTCAATAATCCCCATACACACAAAAGCTCTCCCCCCTCCCCTCCCCCCTTTAAAAAAAACCCAGCACACTATCTAGGAACATGTCAGTAGGAACTGGCATGTTCCCTATGGAAGGGCACTAATATTTTTGACTTGCCCATTCAGTTAATGATCTGCTCAGTGTTCATGTGCAACACCCACAACCTACCCACGTAATCAGTAAAACAGTGCAGTAGTTTACAGTAAACTCTTGTAATGGCCTCATTCAAACCCAGATACTCCCGTTTATGGAGAAATAAAAGCAGGGAGCAATCCGTGCCACTTTGGATAGAGGCTGGAGAAAACAAACACCCATCCCTGTTTCCATGCTCTCTTCCAACCACACCCCACCACCAACTCGGAGGCACCCAGCTCCATTTGCTTACTGGCACTACTGACATAATTGTAGCTCTTGCCTAACTGCAGCCCCAGCGTGTCCCCCTACCCGCCTTAGGGATGGTGATTTATTACACTAATGAAGTGACAGAAATGCCTCCAGTGAATCTCTAAAATAGATATAATTTCTCTGCGTGTGTACACACACACAATCTGATAGTGCTGCACAGAATCATCTCACTTGCGACAATGCCAACATCTGTTCTCAACTCATTCATCTGCAGAGTGCTATGGGAAAACATGTTGCTTTACAGAAAAAAAAAAAAAGATTGAAAATTTAAAAAAAAAAGAAAGAAAAAAAGCCACAAGCTTCAGTTTGAAAACCTAGTTCCACAAAGATAACAAGCATGCAGCACAAAGTGTGACCCACAGTTAACACAAGAGGTGTGGAACCCATACACCTAGTCAACTGAAATACTGGAGAAAATTTAGTCATGACRTCAAAATTCAAACATCACATTTCACTTTAGACACCTGACATACCTACGCTTTGCTAGAAGAGCTGTTTGATAGTTGATAACCYGAAGTATTGAGGGATCATAATCCAGTTTCTGGAAAATCTAACCATTTCAAAGAACTGATGAAGCTGCACAAGTAAATCATGTTTTTATTCCTATAGCTTTTGAGCCAGGGCCAGTGGAATCCTGGAATTTACATCAAGCCTTTACGAAGCATTTAAACTTCTTAAAAGTATTTGTAAAGATCTGTACAACAGGTCAAGGATTAAGAAAAGTTGTAATTATAAACCACATAACTATAAACCATAGATACTCAAAACACTCTAGTACTTGTTCAATTGTATTTGCTCAGCGGTTGCAAATCGCATTTGAGGAAAAGGTTGTGTTTTTTTTTTTTTTTTAAATAATCTCTCTCATCCTTTAAAAACAGAGAGGGGAGAGGGGGGGAAAAAAAAAAAAAAAAAAAAAACACACCCTCAGGCCTCATCCTAATTTCACCTTTCAGCTTTCTATTCCCCATCTTAACCAAGGCTGAGTCCACTTACCTGGGGAAGGGAAAAAATGAGTGGAAATAGATGGTTCCACCAGCTGGCAGAACATAGCATGAAATGCATATTGCATTTCCATAAAGTACATTAAGATTTGCCAAGGTTCCCTCTCTGCAAACATGTTCCTGTAATATGTTGCAGTATTACTGCAGTAACTACAGATACCTATGGTAAATGTACCTCAGCAAGCTATGGCAGAATTTAAAAGTGACATGTTWGATATGGACAAAGTCTTCGATAGACACAAAGTACACTTGATAAGAGCTTTTTCCTATAGCTTCTTCAAGCGTTGTCCTGTTTCAGCTACTTTTATGCAGTCACAACAGGTGGGTACAGAAAATGTTCAGAAAAGCCCAACTCAGCAAGAATGCCCCACACTAGGAACATGTCTTGACACGGTCCCACATAGAGTGAATTGGACAGCAGTAGTCCTCTAGAAAGGACAAGGGTTTTGTTCTACTGACCTTCACTGCAGCACCTGAGGCCACTGCTTAACGCCACCATAAATCTGACTTTAGAGCTTTTAGCCCCAGATCAAAAATGCCACAGTCACCAGACCGGAGGTTGACTGAAGTGTGCTCCAGAAATGTGGACAGGTTCACTTCACAGCAGTGACCTACCTGCCAGCTCAGCTATCATTTATCCCCTCACACTTAGCATAAAGTCAGCGTCAGGCCAGCAGAGTCACTCCGCTGTGTTTCCTGGCCAATTCAAAGCTAGTTGGACTGCGGGCTCAAGCCTGGTCCAGACCTGATATTGCAGCACTCGAATGCTGATCATCTACAATATTAATTCAACAATCTGAGCATCATTAACTTGCTGAGYGCATGTGAACACCTATGCTAAGGTCGATGCGCTGCCACCCTTCTCAGGATCCTCAGCTAAGCAGCTTTGCAAGCACAAAGCAAGAGAGGACAACAGTTGTGCCCCATGCACACTACTGAAACAGATTCACTGGGAAGAGGAAGGAGGTGAAACATGTGGCATGAGGAGCTATGTGAAACCATAGGGAAGCAAGAGCCTCACAGCACTGCACTGTGCAGTAATGAGCAGCAACTCCTCAGCTGAGGCGACTCCTCTGCAAACACATGACTAGGGAGCGGGAGGAGGTAGGATTGTGCATCTCGTTGACAGGAAAGTTTTATCTTTGTTTGAAGTGTTTTGCTGGGAAAACTTGATGTGCTCTCAACATTTCAAAATGCAAGACTGGCAGGCCAGAGCCAGGTCCTCAAGTCTTGCAGCGGCAACTGACACTAGCTGAGAGCACAGCCTTAGTATATCCACAAAAAAAAAAAAAAAAAAAAAAAAAAAAAAAAAAAGAGAGAGAGAGAGAGAGAAAAATCTACAAGTGCTCATCAAAAGGGAAACTCCAAAAGTTGTCTGCTTTGTTGTCTTTTAGAGAGAGGAAATATGAGTTTGCACTACACATGTTACAGGCTATTGTTCAGCAGCCCTTGTGCTTAAATTAGGCACATTTAATTAAACACAACTGYGCGAGGGCAGGAAAAAGCTGGTTTGGACAAGTTCAGAAAGTGAAATTATGAGTTTTTTCACCCAGTATCCCGAAATGATAGAAACCACAGTCCTGAGGAAAAAAGATAAGCCATGCATCTTCTAAACCCATGAGCAGCTGAGATAGGGCTGCGTGGCCAGCGCACCTTTGGGCTATGCTACCTCAGTCTCTGCAGGGGGAAGCCATCAGAAGTGACAGATCCAACTACCTGACTAGGCACTTAATAAAGAATAACAATAATAAAACACAAGAAGAGCCGCTCAGAATGGGTTTGCTGCGGCAAGCGGGACCTTCCCGGGGCTGCCGGCCCCGTCCGGGCACCGGGAGCGCGGCGCTGCCGCCGGCGCGGTTGGGCGGCAGGGACACGTCTCGCCSCAGGCCGGCCGAGCCCCGGGGCGCCGCTGCCGCTCCAGGGGGGCTGCCGGCCGCGGCCCCCTCGAGCGGCCGCCGCGGCGCGGGACTCACCGCAGGTAGCTGCCGGTCGAGTGCTGGTTGTAGTGCTCCGGCTGCGTGTGCCAAAAGAGCATCTTGCGGGAGCGCGGCGGGGAGACGGCCCCGCGCTGCAGTCCCTGGGGGCGGCTGGCGGGGGGCAGAGGCCGGGGCCAGGCAGGCTGCCAACCCCGAGGCACGGCGAGCACCGCTGCGGGCAGCTGTAACGGCGGCCCCGGCTGCTCCCGCCGCTTTTATGGCCCAGCCCCGGCGGCCGCGGGTTGGCTGCGCCGCGGCGCTGGAGCCGAGCCCTCCTCTGGGCCGCTCCTCCTCCTCCATCGCGGCGGGGGTGCAGGTGGAAGCGGCCCGCCCCGCCGCCCGAAGGGACGGCGCTCGGCGGCCGCAGGGTCTTGGCGAAGCTCCCCGCGAGGCGGAGGGGAGGGCTTCGTAGCCACCGGTCGCCATCGCCTCGCGAGGGGGGACGTCGCCATCTTACCCCACAGCCCGCCATTGCACCCCCGAGGGGAAGGGCGCCATCTCGCGCGCCCCGAGGGCAAAGCGGCCATGTCCCATTCCYTGGGGCTGCTGCTTGCCCTTCTGAGGGCAAGGCTGCCATGGCCCGTACCTCGGAGCAGGCGATGTTTCCCCCTTCTTAAGAGCAAGGTCACCATTTTCCKTGCCCTTGGACAGCCATTGCCCTGCCTGAGGGCAGGGCCGCCATTTTGTATGTCCTGGGGTGACGGTTGCCCACCTGAGGGCAAGGCCGCCATTTCACTGCTCTTCAGGCCAGGCTGGCTGCCCGCTGTATGTACATGCTTGGGAAAGGGGAAACCTGCCCACTGCTCCCCAAAACAAGAGATATTACTGCAAACTGCCTTGTCATGGGAAAAAATGTTAAATAGTGGGAACCACGGGGGCAGAGTTATAAGTGATACATCACTACACCTGATACACTGATGTCTGTCAGCAAATAGAGAATGAGGTTTGAATTAAAATACCATGRATGCACAAAACATGAGCAGCTAGTACTAGTGAAAGCAACAGTAAGAGGTCAGTGAGTTCCAACTTTGTTCATGCAAAATGAGSGGGGAACATTAAAAATCAAGAGTTGGCAAGTGCGTCCCTGAATTGGTTCTGTCCTGGAATATAGTCTGTCCTCCAAACTCAAAATTCTTTTTTAAAAATGAGTCTCTTCATGCCATGGGGACATTCTGGCAGCTCCGATTGACGTCAGTGAGGGCTGAGTATGAAATCACTCTTCAAGTTCCTTTAATGTGTCTATTTTTTTAATTAAGGACAGATGATTATTTTAACTCTGTGCTGCTGGTCTTGTATGCTAGCCTTCATTTTAAGCAGCATTTTGTTGTGTGGGGATTGTTTTCCAGGTGGGGGAGTGAGAGATTAAGTAATTTGCCTGAGGACATAAAATAAGAAGTTTCAGAAATTAAACTCACCCCCAAGCCCTTATTTCTACCGCAGTGTGCCCAGAAATCTTCTGTCCTAATCCAACTCCCCTCTCTATAAGCAGAAATCTGTTTCTTTGCCATTTTAAATTCAAGATCCTTATCCTCATCCTCAAGGCTGTCTGTATCATTGTGGTCCTAACTCACTGCCCTCGGCATATCTTCCTAACTCATGAATAATTCTCACTTTGAAAGCTTGCAAGGGAGGAGAAAATGAAAGGTTCACTATTTTATCATGTTCTATTATCCATTCATCAGCAAAAACAGAAAATTGAAACCCTTAATTATTGAGTCATTAAAAATCTTCCARTCTATTTTGCAGGGAAGCACTTACTACCTTAAGCTTCCTGGTCAAATTTCAAGAGAAAAATGCTGTTTACTCACAAAACTTTCTGCTAGCATTGTCAGTTGAAGGTAGCTGTATRCATATATCATTATATAGTTGCTATATTTCACAGCTGAGATAGCTGCATTTAACTGGCAGATGGAATTATTGTACTACTATGATTATATAATATCTGTATTGTAATAACACAGAACACTATTAGGTTGAACCTCAGAGAGTTAAACACTATATAACTAGACTGTGGCACTTCATTTTCCAGATAAGTCACAATCTGAAGAACAAGGTAACTGGAAAGGTAATCATGTAGCTTCACAAAGCTGGTAGCAAGTCTTAAAGTTTTTAAAAGGTATACATTTACCTACAATCATTGTCAACTTCCAACTAAGAACAGTTCAGATGAATATGTCTTTAAGGCAGTTTCTCTTTCCTTTGTTAGTACAGGGCTATACAAACCCTTGCTTCTTTCAAAACAAAATRGCTCGAGTTATAACTTTTTTGTACTCTTAAAAATATTTTGCACTATTCACACAACATCTGAGCAAGAGCAGCTGTTTAGACCTCATTTGAGCCGTGTCTAAATATAGCTCTTGGACAGAGAAGCAAGACAAAGTTTGCTGAGGTATCCAAGGGCTTATATAAACAGTAAATATTCTTCCAMAGTTCTGTATGCATTGTTGCACTGACTGGAGAAATATGTAGTTGAATGTAAGARTAAATAACCATACTGTACAGAATGAAGGATCCAATCAAGTCTGGCATGTCAATATTTTCTTTGCTATCTTCCTAGAGAGTAAGCACGTTGGAGGGCAAATGAGTTTAAAATAATGCTGGCCTATTCCTTCTCTGCTGCATTGCTGAAAGTTGGTAATTAATTTTACAGAGACTCTCCCAACACCTCTGTCTTCTAAATCTGCCCATATCTATCATCCCTTTCTTAGCCCAATCAATTGAAAACAAAAGATGACATCTTTGTTTTGCCTCTCTCTCCTGAAATACACCTGAGAACTTTTTTTGGTTTAAATTCTGCTCTCTCTTTAGTATGGAAGTTYGCATTAGAGCATTAAATACCCACTCCCAATTTACATGTCATACAGATCAAGTCTTTCCATGTGTGGCAGCCTTTATCACCTAGTATTTGCTGTTCCTCTTTCACTAGTACAGTCTCTCAGTAATGCACTCTCTTCTATCACACTTTTGTCATCTGTGTGCTACTTACTTACAGAGGAAAAGAATTGATTGAATATTTTTGACAGTATTTCAAATTGAGTGTTTTAAAAATATGTGTCTTTTCATCTGGACCTAGCAAAGAACAACCATGCTAGTCGTTCTCATATAAAGAAGAAAAAACTTTATTTAAAGTATGTAATCCCTGTCAAAAAATCATAGATAATACTTATGTTGTAGGATTTTATTGTATACTGAAGTTTGKTCTGCTACTTCTCTAGTTACTATAATCCCCTTACAAGATTACTGAGCTGAAAATTTGTATACCTTTGGTTTCACTCTAAGTCAAGAGGTTTAGATCATTTCTGAGCACTCTAAGCCAAGCCATTACTGCAGTGACCACGATGCTGTCTTTGGCAGGGGCTGCATAACCTCTAAGGATGTGAGTGTGGGACCTTCCAGACCTGAAGAAGTAAACATTCAGAATGACAACTTGAATCCTCGTCCATTTCAGAGGGAACAAAGCATTTGAATACCTTTGTGTGTCCAGTCACAAACATCTAAATTGCTTATGAAAAATGTGTCATGGGCTCCTAGATCGAGTAAGCAATTTTGTATTCGTGGAACCCAAACAAACTCAGTTGTAGGCTCAAGGTTGAACAGATTATTGTATTGAAGAATGAGCCATTATCTCATTACACTTTAGTCAAGGTTATTCAAAGATTATTCCAACCATCTCCCGTTCCATGAGCCTGCTTCTCCACAGGCCACATGCTCAAAATATAATCTCATATTTAAAATCGGAAGAACATTTTATTTCACCTTATTGTCTTAAGATTCTTGTATCACTTGAATCTGTTTGCTGAATACATTCTTAATATTTCTATCCCTGATGAAGGGCTTGTGCAAACTGTCTGGAGGGCAATCCTAGGAAGACAAGGATAGCTACATGGCTGCTATAACATGCAGCAAAAAGTTAATCTAAAGCAGAACCTGCCAAGGGAAACTGAGAAGGGAAATTCTGCCCTGTTGTGCCAGCCTGCACCTGATCCACAACTTGCAGACATAATTACAGAATGTCTGGATGAACTGCAGGGATCTGAAATGCAGTGAAGAGACTTGGGAAAACTTACTGGGATGGTCACCCAAGGACCAAATATCACAGCAACAAATATCACAGCAACAAATATCACAAATATACTTTAAGAAAAAAATACAACAAAAAAAGTGTGGTGTGTTTTTGTGGTGGCCAAGAATATTTGTAGGATTTGTGTTGCCTCTGTGTGTACTTTAGTTCAAAGATTTCCAACCACTGATCTGGAAATCATTGGGGAAAATTGTGCACTATTTTTAAGTAGTCTCTGCAACATAAACAAGAAAAGTAGCTGTACTGAAAAAAAAGTAGCTGTATCTTTCCTGAAAAACACAGAAGGCACCAGAAAATGGAAGAGATTGAAAACCTGGCAAAATCATTGCTACGCCTTAGACAAAGTCCTGGGATCAGCTTCCAGGGGCAAGTGCGGGCTCTTCCAGGCAGCCCACTGACCTTAAGGCTCTCTTGATGAGGCCCATGCAGGTCYGTATTTCACATGGACATCAGCCCAAGTGGGTTCCCTAAATAACACTCTGTCTCAGTGACATCTCCGAGCACAGCTGGTGGTCAACAGTTTGGCAGATGGCTGCTACCAGTATTAAGAATGCATCATGGTGCTACAGCTCAGAAGGAGAATACTAAATTGGAAAGAACCCAGTTAAAAACAGAATGAATAAAGTCTTGAAAAGGTGCCATGCCTTGGCATTGAAAGAATCAAGGAGCTTAGCCTGGGCTTATCCAGACTGAGGTTAACAAGTGACTTAATCACAGTCCATACATGCTCGCTTGGAAAGTCAACATTTCGTAACGAAGGCTTCTAAACTTCACAGCAAAGGTACAACAACCAAGGAATAAACATTGCAAATAAATAAGCTTAGGATAAGATCAGACTGCACATTTTAGCAAAGAAGGTAATTAACCATGTGAGCGCTTTTACCAACGTTTGTCATTAAGCCCCCATATCCCTTTTCTAGATATAAATCAAGATTATTTTTTTCCTAAGAAGAAAAGATAGGTCTTCTACTTTGCACAGAAAGGAATTCAGTTAAATCCTATGACTTGTGTTACAGC